TACGTCAATCTATTGACAATATCCTTCGTTCGCGGTAGATTTTAATGTCGCTCTGGGGCAGACGGCGTTCCAGACTAGCACCCTTAACGGGACGCACGGACCCGGGGTTGCCAGCCTTGCTGTAGACGGGATCACCAATACCTACATGAACTACGGCACTGCCACCTGTACACACACACAGGAGGAGACTGGTCCTAGCTGGTGGGTGGATCTCGGCCGATCGTATATGATTGACAGGTACAGTTGCATGCAAAATTATTCAACCCCTCTTGTATTTTGGGGAATTTTGTCAAAATAAGGAAAATTACAACTGTAGAACATGCCTAACTCATGTAAGTGATTAACATATAGTTAATTACAATTTAATATCAGAGAAAAAGTCAATATTATTTCATAGTTCATCTGAAATGGCAACTTTAATACAAAAAGCAAGTGGCAAAATTATTCAACCCCTATACAACTCATCAGCTAGGGTTGATTATGGAGAATCACAACTAACATGCCACGTCCAAAAACACTAGTAATGCAATGAGGTAAGATGTGCATGTCCATAGTATTTGTATTATCGTGTAATTTTCCACCAAATGTGTAGTATTACACGCTTTGTGTCATTACTGCTCACATGCCTCTTGCTGGCAAAGTGGTGAAGGCAGAGAGTTGTCCCAGAGGTTTAAATAGGAGATAGTAGCATTACACAATTAAGGTAATAGATATAAGAGGATATCCAAGCTCTAAATGTTCCCAGAGACACCATTTGGAGCATTATTCGCAAGTTCAAGGCATCTGGTACTGTGGCCACACAGGGAGGTCATGGACGAAAGAAGAATAATTTCATCAGCTACAGCAAGATTCCTGAGAAAACAGGTGGACAAAACCTCCAGGCTTACTGCAAAGGACCTGAGACACAACTTGGCTGGAGGAAGAAGTGATGTTTCAGGCGGTACAGCATGCTGCACACTTCATGCTGAAGGGTTCAATACCAGAGCCCCAAGACGCACACCGCTGCTGAAGCCAAGCCACAAGAAAAGTTGCTTCCAGTATGCTGAACCCAGCCTGTCAAACCCACAGAACTTTTGGGACACTGTCCTATGGGCTGATGAAGCAAAACTTGAGTTCTTTGGTCCTGTGGATCAGAGGTTTGTTTTGCACAGGAGGATCCAGGCATACGCAGAGAAGAACACCGTGCCTACCGTGAAGCATGGCGGTGGGTCTGTGATGCTGTGGGGGTGTCTTGCTTCTAATGGTACTGGGGAAACTCCACCATGTTGATGGCATCATGGATTCAACAGAATATCAGGATATTCTGGCCAAGAAAGTCACCAAGTCCTTGAAGAAGTTGAAGCTGGGGCGTCATTGGACATTACAGCAAGTCAACGACCCCAAGCACACATCGAAATCCATGAAGGCTTGGTTGGAGAAGAAAGGCTGGAAGGTCCTGGAGTGGCCATCACAGTCTCCTGACTTAAACCCAATTGAGAATCTGTGGTGAGACCTGACGAAAGCTGTTGCAGCAGGAAGACCTAAGAACATTGTTGACATGGAGATATTCGCCAACAAGGAATTGGCCGAAATCCCCAAATTGCACTGCCAGAATATCATGACAATCTATCGTTCCCGTCTGCAACAGGCCATTGGAGTTACAAGGGTGCTGCACGAATTTCTAGAGGAATCCTCGTAGGGGGTTGAATAATTTTGCCACCTGCTTTTTGTGTTAAAGTTGCCATTTCAGATGAACTATGGAATAATATTGACTTTTTCTCTGATATTAAATTGTAATAAACTATCTGTTAATCACTTACATGCGTTAGGGATGTTCTACAGTTGTAATTTTCCTTATTTTGGCAAAATTCTCCAAAATACAAGAGGGGTTGAATAATTTTGCATGCGACTGTATAAGTTCAACGGGCACGGTGTCTGGCAGAATAAAACTACTAAGAACTAGTACACCTTTACAAGTACAACTCTACATTCTAAGCTATGCTATACTATATTACTACAATGAGCAGTTGTATATAATGAGTTCTATGAGTACTATGTACAGAGGTCGACTAAATTACTGGCTAAGATAAAACGTGATGAAAAATATGACAGTTGCTGCTCGTTATTTGGAAAGACTGGGAGTTTTTATCAAGTGGAGGCTTTATTCCCATCCGTTACTCACCACATGGCCTGCACAGACACAGGTTTGAAGATGAAGTACCGTCCATGGCTGCTCACACTGAACCCTCTGTAAAAAATACACGATCAACTTTAAAGGAGTCTGTATGAGTCAAGAAAAGTCTGTACAAGTTCTTAAGAATGTCATTAAGGGTCAAGAAGTCACAGCTTGCACTTACTGTACAAAACCAGTGTGTATGGTGGCTTACCAGTTATGCGAAACTGTTAAATTTTTATTTATTGTGCATTGTACAATTTTTTTTGTATGTTGATGTCCACACTGTACATGATATATGTAATCAATGGCCCTACTGTAAACAAGTGGTTGCACCACTAAACTAGGCCACCCTGAGTTAAACATATATGATAGAAAATGAACAAACAAGTGCCCTCACCCATCCCCGTCCAGCACAACCTTGGTGTTGCTCCAGATCGGCAGCACGAGGCCAACGGACGCCTCGGCGCTCCGGTCCTGAAAGTCGATCCCCAGGATGATGCTCTCCTCCGTGTCCTCGCGCCCGAAACACGACACGATCGCCATGTACCGGATACGGTCAGGGTACGCGCTCTCCAGCTTAACTGCCTGTGGGGGAAGAAATATTCTTACTTTAATGAACGGTAGACACAAATTCTCTGTGTACTTACTTTGTTCCTGCCCTGTACAGAGGTTTTCTTCTTACTGTGTCTGTTTGTACATGTATGTTTGCTTGTGTTTCCGAAACACGACATGCTCGCCATGTACCGGATACGGTCAAGGTATGTGCTCTCAAGGCTCAAGCTAAACTGCCTGTGGAGGGCAGAATTATTCACACTTAAGCTCCTGTTCTGAAACAACAGGAGCTACTTGACTAATTTGCATCATCCTTGTCTTGACTTCCTTGTCGAACTTTAATTTGTTTCCTTTTGGGCTTCCAAGAAATTTGCCTTCACTTAACTGCATATTAAGAAACATTCCTCAACAAATGGAGCCCCAAAAGTCTCTGTTTGACTTTATTGGGATCCACATTTAGCTTACAATCCATGTACTACAAGACAGTGGCTATTCTTCCTGTGGTCCTTACCAGTTTGATGGTGTCCTGAGGCCGAAGTAAGTAGAACATGGACTGGAGGTGGTTCTGTAAGTCTCCTGGAACAACAAGTCAACCAAATTCAAACTTTCATAACATCAGGCACAATTCCTATATCAAGATAGAGCATCTTGATAGCCAGCAGACAACAAAAAGGCCACCAAAGGCCATCAAAGTAATATACAAATAAAACAGGGAATACAGATCAGAAAAAAAAGCAAAGAAAATGAAGAAGAAAACAAGAAGCAGCCCAGAGAAATGAGAGAGAACAGAACTGAGGACAGGTACCCTGTGGTTGATAGTGTCTGCAGTGTATGTAGTACCCCTGGTAGGACAGGTAGATAAAACATGGCAGGTGACATGTCTTCTCTAACATGGCATCTCTCCGAGGTCTCTTCATGGCTTTTTACACAGAACACAGAAGAGAAAGTTCAGAACTGAGTTGGAGGTACCCCATGGCTGATACACTGATAGTGTCTGCAGTGTACTAGTGGTGCAGGACAGGTAGATAAAACATGGCAGGTGACATGTCTTCTCTAACAGGACGTCTCTCCGAGGTCTCTTCATGGCTGGTGTTTTACACACACATGTAACACATGTACAGCAGAAAATTCAACGCTTTTATCTTCTCCAAACACGCTTCTCTCATTCCTGTCTTCATACATCATAGTTGATAACTAACATTTATGTAGTACAGTATTTAAAAAAGAATTGGTCTTAAATCATACAATGAATGAATGAATCTTTATCATTCAACCGGCAAACATACATTTCGTATCAGTCTGAATTTTGTTAACTTTACAAAATACAGCAGCTCCATAGCTTTTGCATACAACATTATGGGCACCTCTTGAGTTGAAAGTTTCTATCAAGAATGCTTGGAGTTGGAGCTAGACACAAGTCCTTCCATGTAAGTTGTAACTGCTGGTGAAGCTGGTGTGTTTTTCCAGAAAGCTGACCCACTATCTGACGGGTACAGACATTTGTGTAAATATTTAGAACAACACATGTGAGTGAACAATGTCAGCTTGACTCTGTAGGTATAAAGATAGCACAGCGAAGCAATGGAAGATGTAAACAGTGAACGAAATGTAAACAGTGATAAAAAAAAACATACTGGCTGCAATATAATATTTCATAATCAATATTTAGTATGAAGAGGATTCCATATTAATTCATGCACAATGCAATCACACAAGCCAAAACATAAAATTTGATAAATAAACTACTCTACCAACATAGTATACGTAAAAACCTTACTTATAAAAGTTTTCCTTTTGAAGTTTTACCACTGGAATTTCTGAAATATAGAGCTTTATACAGAAAAGAAAAAAGACATGAAGTCAACAAAAAGTAACCAAACCAAAGCACACCATCCTGTTTACCCCTCCGTGCCATTGTCCTTACTGAAACACGTCAACTTTTACAAGGACAAGCAGTACCATGACAGGAATGCATGAGCGTGAGGCAGGAGTGTAGTGAAGGACAGAGGAAGGATCGAATAACATGACTGACATCTGACTGATGTTTACTGCTGTTGGCCTAAATAACTTATGTCTTCACATTTTTATATGGCTATCACGGAGATATGTAGTTGTTTCCCTCTTTTTTTCCTTCCTTCCTCTGTCTGAACACTAAGACTTCAACTCAAAAACCCCACTTTACTCTTACTCGAGTCTTAGTATTTGTTCTTGAATTCTGAGATGTAATTAACACCATTCAAAGGTCTTACCACCTTTCCTACACTGATACTCACCTCCTTTAGTGGACCTGGCCGGGCGTTGGACATTGTCGCTCTGTGGTAGTATTAGTACACAGTCCTTAATGGCCACGTAACTCTCACACAAACTGCAAACACAAAGAGCTGCAGTCGGTATGTGGTTACAGAGAGGTTTTTTTTTCCTCTGGTTGTACTAGAAAGACCTGTACAAGTAGCAAGCACTGCAAGCCTTTCGAACAGTGCCTAAGTTGGGTGAGTAACATTCATAACAGCCTAGTTTGAAACTGTGGATCATAAAGTTGGGTGACTGACAACATTAGTTTTCACAATTAAATGTCATGCACTTAATCAAATCCTGGATAGTAAAGTGTGAGTGTGACTGTGCACAATAGTATGACTCAAACTGTAGTCTGTAGTATACGAATGAGTATTTAAATTGATTGATTGTAAATAATCTATTTTGTACTATAATGATTCATTGACATAGTTTATTGATTCATTTTGTATTATTACGATCTGCTGTTATTGTTTGAATATCTGGTGATATTGATGCACCATGTCCATGTACATGCATCTCAACACCACAACAGGCTCAATATGAATTATGATGATGATGTCATCAAATTTTGTCCCTCCAAATGACATCATGAGTACTGGTGCACGTGAAGGAGTGATGAAAACAGCAGATACTGAAAAATCACACTGTATCTCAACACCACATACACGTACACCTGCCTAGATATGATGATGATGTCATCAAACTCATCATCCTCCACATGACATCACCAGTAGGTGAAGGAGTGATGAAAACAGCAGGTTTACTCACCTGTGGGTGCGCTTCAGTCTCTTCTCCTCTGACTCATCATCAGCATCCTAATAAGGAAATCCAAAGAACGAAGGTGAATCATCAAACACTGTCAATCTGTAAGTTGTGTAAGTCTTTAGCCTGGGTACCATCTGATGTGTTACAGGGTTTCTTGTACAGTCAAACCTGTACTAGTGATCACTTTCTGTGGTCCAGAAGTTTTTACAACTACGAGTTTCATGGAAATTACTACATTCATGGAAATTGTGCACTTTTAAAACTTTTATGTCTGCCAGTGAATTAGGACCATAACATGAATTGAAGACCAGGTGTTGGGCATTGCTTATGCAGGATTTTGTGCAATTTATCTATTTTGCTTAGAGGATAAGAGTTTCAACAATGTTCAAATCTTTTTATCAATTCACCACATTCACATCTAATTTAGTGGTCTGATTTTGTGATTCGTGAAGATACTGATTCCTGTCCATACAGTGCATTTATGTACGTAGTTTCTGCTGTTTTTAACTTACTCCAAAAACAGGTCACTGACCTGAATATCCTCTACTGCTTAAACAAATAAACTGTCAAACTTCTCAAACTGTCACAAAACGGGTTCCACATTTCCAGTGATGAATTTGTTACTTCAAAAACGTGATTTCTACAATTTCATATAACATCTGTGTCCATAATATCACCAGGGTCCATAATATCGCCACCTTGAGAAAAAGTGTGCTTAAAGATATTTTTACTGCAACATATCCTAGGTATGTACATTTTGATGTGTGAAGGAGTGCATACCAAAAGTATGTTGCAGTAAAAATATCTTAAAGCACACTGTTTCTCAAGGTGGTGATATTATGGGCCGACTGGCGATATTATGGACCGACTGGCGATATTATGGACCCTGGCAATATTATGGACACGGATGTTTTACGTCTGTAACTTACTATATATAGTGTTAGCTTTATCAAAACCTACACAGTTGCCAAAATGTCTGCTTCCCTAATCCCAGACCAGGAGAATGACAAAGATTTACATGTGAATTTTTAAATACATCTATTTTTCATGAGTAGTCCAAAGTTGTACAAATAATAGAATCTGGGCCAGACACAATGGCATGATGTTCTCTAGAGGCTTATATTTCCCTATAGGATATTTTGACTGGTGCAAATATGTTATTATTATATTCCATGGTGCACAGTTATGGTTTATAATGGAAGAAACTAAAGAAGGAAACAAAGTTCAGAATAAATACCTTGCTGGACCTCAGGGGTGAGTAGATCTGGTTTTGCGTGAACAAAAGTACAACAAACAGAACGTCTTTTTTAAACCACAACATAAAAACTCATGTCGGTAATAACAGTAATGAATTGGTTATGATTTTATGATTATCAATGTTCAGATTTGGTTTATTTCAAGTAGCTTGGATTAAACTTAGTCAAGGTATAGTTATTACTTAATATTATCAGTTAATGGCCATAAGATCATTCTTATCACCATAATTATGGATGAGGACCACCGTATTGATCTTTGAGGTATATATGTTTGCATTATAAATAATGATAAATCTATAAATAATCACAAGACAGACTTTCATGGATTGTCACTTGGATTAGGTTGACTTCAATCTTTTACTGTAAATTTTACTATAATTAAGTTAATTTCTTATGAAGTTTTAAGCAGAATTTTTCACAAGTGTGCATTTTTTGACAGAGACGGCGAAAGATGGTTTAAAAGGGTAACATTACCATATGATTTGCTGATCAATGATGTTTGAAATTATAAAAAATGAAGACATCACATTTTCAAGGGGAATTTAAAGACCACGATTATGCAATTTGATACTTGAAGTTGTTAATTCCTGACATCACACTGAGGTCGTTGAGGGGTCACCTTGGGATCTTGAGTTGCCACAATGACATGTTCAAGTTCGAGTTTAAATACACGTAACATTACATGCATATTCACAACATGTACAACAACCTTACACTAGTTACAGTACAGGTTGTTACAGTAAGTATGGTACATCAGTTTGTGTTGTCTTGTCTTGTCTTGTGCTGTTCACTAAATTTAAAGTAAATCACTAAATGTTTACAACTTCTGACAACTGCTGTGGGAAACCCAAAACCTGAGACCAAAACAAGCTGGCAGTCCGTGTCAGGTCATGACGTCCGGACAGATGACGTCAGGATCAGACGACAGTCGTTTGGCAACTTTTCACTTTTTCTCTACCTCTGCAGATTTTGACTTCTATTTAAGTATTATACAAGGCTTCATATTGTAGATACAAGGTTGTGAGTTATTTTCTTTACTGCAGAGAGTTGTCAGCAACAAACCTACGATGATTTCTAATTGTAAAATCCGTTCTACGTTTTGTACAGCAAAAACGTTGCGTTACAAGTGTGTAAGTTGTGCGGTATGTCACAAATTTTTTCTCCGATTTTTATCACAACCGGCCGGCCCCACCCTCCCCAAATTTGTGAGTGTGAGAGTCGTTCAAAACGCCTGTTACGCAGTAAAAACAGCCTACAAGTTCGTCCCAAAAATTCACGTATTTTGCAGACTACTGATTGTCTAAGTTTGTGATAGTTTGGCTAAGAAATGAGCGGAAAACAAGACAAGAAGAGGAGACAGAACTCACTTCCACAGATCCGCTGCTGGAGCCGCTGTTACTGGGGGTGGGCGAGCGCTGCACTGTCACAAGAGACATGTCTTGTTCCCCTTTTTCCCGCCTAAAAACCTCACATCAAAAACAGACGACTCATTCACTCCACACAGAACTAAACTCGGTTCCCTCTGAGCTGCAGAAGTCGGGAATTCCGGCGGTTTTTCGTCCCGAACTCTACGATATTTTGTTCCTCATTCTAGGAGAAATTTTTGTTGAAGGATTGATCTTTTAAACCACTGCGCATGCGGAGTGACCTTTAGTCTTTTGCACGAAAAAAAAAATCAAAATTCATAAGAACAAAGAATTCTGAAACATCAAACTGGAGAAAGTTGTTTATCAACTTCTTTTCTGAGGTGAATTTTTGATACTAGTTTTAATTTTACAGGAAAAAATACGGAGTTGAAAAGGGAAAAGGACAAAGGGTCAAAGGTCATCCTCCTAGCAACACCAGAGTGACACTTTACACGACTTCTCGTCCTTTTTGTGACGTTTTCTTTAGTCATGATCAACAACAAGAGGCTCAAGTAGAGAAAAGTGAGTGTTTTGACCGTGATTTCGCGTCTGTGGTGTAGTACAGTTGACTTTGTGGTGTTTGGGGCCCGAAGTTTGAGAGAGAAATTTGTTGTTTGACAGTTCGCGTTGTTGACAGTGCCTTGCTTGTTGGTTTGTAGATAAATGGAACTGCTTAATTACTTTAATGTTGACGTTATATCACTGGGGCTGAAGGCTCGGTGTTGACTGGTTGTTTATCTATATTAAATGTTAATGCAGTTAACAAGTCCTTTGGAGTTGAAACTTTGGAATTATGTAAAATTAATTAACAACAGATGTGTGTCTGTCTGCATGTCTGTGTGTTTGTGTGTGTCTGCCATCTCTCAATTGCCTAGTTGTGTTGTGAAGTATTGTAATGCAGAATGTACCACCCTATTTTTGCATACATGTATCTGGTATTGTTGTCCTATTTGTTTAACATCTAATATGTCGCTAGCCCAGGTCTCTTGGTACAGTAGTTTGCGCTTGGTACAGTTCAGAGTCAAATAGTCTCTCTAGGTATGTAACTCTTGGGGCCTTGTGCTTGCGTGAAGTGAACTGTTGTGAAGTACAAGATGTGTGAAGTGCAGCTTGTGTAAGAATTAGGAGAGTAGAAACAGTACGACACTCCTGGTCCCAGGCCGGGGATCGAACCCACAAACCTGGGCACCAAATCACATACTGACGCTCAATGGAATCGGCTAAATA